ATAGGATTTAAATAATTTGACAAACATTTACTGGTTCCAGCTTCTCAAATTTGAGGATTTGCTGCTTTTTTCCAGTTTATATGATTGTAAACTGAATATCTTTGGGTTTTGTGCTGTTTTTTTGGTTCTATTTTCCTTTTTTTTTAAATATTAGAAGACTAAAAGAGGATTTATCAATTAAAGAAAAAGACAGATGAATAGGCAATATATAATAACTGTTTAGTTGCAGCCCTTTATGAATGGTCATTACACCACTTCTTTTGAAAGGACATTAGCAAACACACCAGTTACTAGTAATTAAATCAGTCATGATGTCAAAGTCAAATTTGGTTTAGGGAGGGAGTGTGCCATCTAATTTGAAACGGACCTTTCAGTTCTGAAAAGGTACAGAGAACAGTGATTATATTATTAATACTGTCAAACCTGTCATTAGAGGTCATGGGTGACTGGTGCAGACACAGTAACCTTGACCTCAGCATGTGCTGTTTGTAGTCACAGTCATATTTCTGTGAGTCAGAGACTGACATCTATTATTATGGTGTATGTATGAGTTACTCGGGATGGTAGGGCTCTTCCATTTGTGACCCAGAAAATGCTAGTTAAACATTCACTACTGCTCCCGTCCTCCCGACTTACCTCCACAGTCGTCTGGATTCTACATCAACCACATGTGTGCAGACTCACCTAGCAGTAAAACTGGTTATTTTGTGTTACACTACACGGTAAGTAGCGTGATGAAAGAAGGCCGTGTCATCTGTTACGGATTTTTATATATATCTCTCTCTCATAAGCGGACATGAGAGTACCGCTGTAAAACTGTAAACACAATCTCACAAATTCTCTCTCTCTCTCTCTCTCTCTCATTCCTCCTCTCACACAGCTTTACTTTTAACAATTACCTCCATAAACTGTAAATTTGACCACAGAATTAAAAGGGTGATGTCATTAGGCGGCTCTTTTGGGAAGTGGGCCAGTAATTCTGAATTAGTTGCAGACTTTGTGGGTTCAACGAATATTTTTTTGCCATATTCAGTCCCAATTAGATTCATGTGAATGCAGGCCTACTCTGTTATTCAGCTGGCAGAGAGACTTGTTTCAAATTCACAAATTAAAATGGAGTTGTGCAACACAGTGGAAATAATTTATGACTACTAGTTTTTAAGTGCATTTCTTCTTTAGCTTGCAATCTCACACTGTAAATCCGATTTATGAATATCCTAACATCCATGATCTGGGGAACAGAATATTTAAATAATTCCAACTGTTTTGTTGTGAGATAAATCCCTATGTTTGCTTTTCACTTGAACTGTTGCAGACCTTTACAAATCTGCCTAAATCCCAGTACCATTAACACAATAGACATTTCAGTAAAATGGAGAAGAGGTGTTACGAATATACCTATCAAGGCCATGGAATTTAAACTTCCTTTGGCAAGCAAGAAAATCCACTCAGTAACCATTTTCTTTAGGTCTACCTAGCAAAATATTATGCCATCTAAACGAACGCCGAGCAATAAATCAAACCTTTATGAAGGTTGTGTTGAAACTGTTTCAGAAAGGTGTTGGTTCACCTTTATTGTAATTTCAGAAGCTGTACTCCTACTGAGATTTGTTTCAAATGCTGCATCCACCAATACTTCCATCGACCAATAAGTTGAATAAACACCTCTTTAAAACGGTTTCAGCAAAACGGAACATTATAAAACATCTTCAGGTGGGATTTAAAGCAGATATGTTGTGTAAGGCTGCATTAGTTTTAGGGCAGGTGCTTCTAATAGAATACCAACTTGGGTGAGTATCTGTGCATACTTAACTATTTAACCCTCTAAGGCTGTAAGCGACCCTTTAATGTTTCAAAAGCTAAAGCTCTAATCTCTATACATTTAAACATATTAGCATGAAGCTACCATGATTTAGAGCATAGTGTCAGTATGTAACAGAAACCAAAGTCACCAAATCAATGGTGAAATCAATAGCGGTTACTGAGGTGAAAAAAATAAAGTTGTTCTTGTCCTTTTTACCTTGTTGCTGTTGTTATGTTTGTGTCATGCGCACATGACTGAAAGTGTGATGGGGTCACAGTATGCAGGTGGTTGATGCTTGTAAGACTGGGGATAAGGGAAGGGAAGCAGGGGGTGGGTGAAGGGGGTCTGGGGGCATATATAGCACCTTGTCATAACACTTTATAAACCTGATTTCCTCTCTGCCTCTTCAGCACTACATACCTGTCCATAGTTGTCTATCCCAGTCACTAATCTATTGAGATTGAGTAAATCAAAAGCGGTCCTCAAGGACTGGCCAATAGTTGTGAGTCCATTTGCTTGGAGGTTCCTCAACTCTGTCATGAATGTGGCATGACTCTCTTTCCATCCAGCCTAAAAAAGAAAACAAAACAAAACAAAACATTTGGTTAATAATCCACATAAAGCTAGATAACTACCCCACTGTTGTGAACACCAGGCAACTTCTACAGAAGTGGAGGGTTAACTTGAATGTTTTTATTATGATTCAGAACTGATAAACAAGAGATATAGGTCGCTTCCTCTCTATCAAGCCAATCATTTGACAGCACTGTAGCCAAGAGCTTGATCCGTTTCTACCAGGCTAGAGACCGGCCTGGGATCATAAATTACAAAGTGGCAAAGTCGCAATGTGTGCCGTGACTAAAGTGGCAATTTGATCTAAACAAGTAAAGTAAGCTAGTCTGTCACCCCCTCTTCCTCCTCCTCCTCCTCCCCCCAGATATCACTTCGCTGTATAAATAACACCCAGAGTTCCTTGCTGCTCACATTGAAACAAAATGTCGGCCATGTTTTAAAGGGGGTATGAAAGCTCCTCCTGAAGATTTTCTCTACACAATTGATGTAGTGATCACAACGTGGTGGAGCGATGGAGGGACAGTCAATCTGCGCAATGTAAAGCTGGACATGACCCGAAAACAAACTCTACCTTTATCCCGAACGGAACGTCTTCAAAATTTACCAACATATACCGGTCCCCTCGGCTCGCCGGATCTCTCCCTCTGAGCTGTGGAAATAGTAGAGAATTATTTACGGTTATCGGAGAGATCAGGTTTGACAGGCGAGCTTGCAACAGTACAATGATGATCTGAACCGCAATCCCGCTCGGGGATCTCCCAATATTAATGTGTCCCGTGGTTACAGTACCTTCATAAAAGTCTCAACAGCGCCTTTTGCTATGTCCAGATAGGTAGTGCCCAGATGGGTGCGCTGGTTCATTGAAGCGGACGTGTCTATCAGAAAAAGTAAAACGGGCATTGTGATGGTAATGACACGTTCTGCATGGACTTGGTGTCAGTACAACCGGTCAAAACGCAAAAAAAATCTTTTGTTCTCCTGCCGCCTGTATCACCTCTCAGCTAGCTAGCTAGCTGGCTAACTAGTCTGTCTCACACATTCTTTCAAAAAAGTGTAAGAATAGTGAGTGTAGAAGCCCTTTCCGGGCAAACTAAACTAAAAACCTCAAACCCTAGGGGCAGGTTATTGATTCACGAGGGATTTTGATAATTTTTACAATATTTTGCAAATATTCCTAAGTTTCATAGTAACAAAGTTCCCCCTCATAGTGAGTCCCTGCTTCTCCCTACACTGAATGCGCTGTGTCTTGTCCACTGGTTTTAACCTAAGCTCCGCGCTTGACCCCGCCTCCCAAGCGGTCTTTCAGCGTCACGTGCTCAAATACTCGCTCCTCATTGGCTGGTTGAAGCCACTCATTACCATATCCAAATTAGGCAAAAGCTGAGCGTCTCATGCGCATGCTTGCTTGCCTGAGAGGCAGGAATGCGAGGAAAATATTCTGTATATGCAGTATGTGTGTTTAAGAATGCAATATATGTGGAGACGCGCTGTTTATTTTGGAGCATTACCGTAGTTGTTTGAGCACATATTATTTAAGAATGGGCATGTGTTTGCGCTGAGAGCTGATTACATAATCAACATTTACTTCATCCTATGCACGGGCGTGGGCTACTGTGAGAGGAAAGACAACCCACTAAGACTATAGAGAGAAAACTGTAGGCAAAGATAGACACTATCAAACAAAAAGCAGTGAAATATTAACCCAGGAATGCACCCACGGCTCACAGAACCCACTCGCTGGTACTAAGGCACTTGGTTTTCATGTGATGACCAAATAAAGACAGCCTTTTCTGCAAACGATCTGAAGGAAGACAGGTTTAGCTGAATAGTCGCTGCAAGGGATTGACATGCGCGCGCACGCACTCACACACCCTGCAGCTCTAAAATGGCTATACTTTGTCTTTATTTCTCATATGTACAATAAACTACACACTTCGCTAGAAAATAGGAACTGACTGTACTGGTATTTCATAAGTGATATTTATATAGCCTTTCAGAAGTAGGCACACATCTGTTGTTGCTTCCTATCAGTTTAGGCTTTCCACAAACATGGAGTTGTGTGAGATAATATGTCTTAACTAATTTATCACACACTTGAGAATTATTTCAATTGCTCTCCAACGGGCTTCACAGCATCCTGGTTGATTAAAGGGTCCACTCCTAATGCCACATGACAGTCAGCCAGACATGCACGATTGTGCAATACAATTTACATAATGTAGCTCCTTGAAAAATATCATCACTTCCGCGAAAACCATCCGGTGGCACTGTGGCAGGCGATTGCAAAGGGGAGGACGGTCTATTGCCTCTTGTTTGACTGAGTTCTCTGAAGCGATATACACAGAATAGTTCATTTTCCGGTGTGTCACTGACAGGTTTTTCAGAGTAAAATTATTTATGTGGATGGTTTCATGGCATTTAGGGGGCAAAGTTTTACACCAGTTGTATTGTCATGTATTACCACTGATTATTTGGTATGCATTGAAGGTCAGTGGTGGAAAGTATAGTAGGCTACGACAATTATTTTACAATGGTTAGTAGTTACTTTGCAGATTAATATTTTACATGCAACATATATGATCATTGTATAATAAATGATGCATTGATGTAACGTAACAGCAGTAGTCAGCTCAACCAGCTACAGCTACAGTAATATATATATATATAACCCTCAGAAATGAGCCATTCTGTGTGAGTACTGATACTACTTTTATGCATAATCAGTTAGAAATGTAAATTTGAATTCAGATTTTTATTTGTAATGGAATATTTTTACATTGGGGTATTAGTTATACTTACGTAGAAGATCTGAGGACTTCCTCTATAAGAATACATAAGTCACTTTGACTAAAGGAAATATTTACATCACAACTAGAAAGATATCCTCAATATAAGTAGTTTGTTTTGACTATCTTATGTCTTCATTGTTGTCTCATTAAATTCGCAAAACACATTCATATTTCCTTGCACTTCTTTTATATGTTTACAAAAACATGTTACAAATGCAACAGTTTTACATTTTTATCTCTACTCGTTTTTTTTTGTTTTTTTTGTTTTGTTTTTTACAATTGTTGCTCCAAATTTGATCTTAAACTTCATAGAAATTCAATAAATCGAACAACTTACTTTTACTTACCGAATTAGTTTTGGACCTTTATTCTGAAGTCCATACAAAATGTGACCGGAAATAATTGTCTTTGTGCTTCACGACTTCTTGTAAACAGTCTACAAGAGGTACTAGAAGTGTTTTCATATGATGAGTTACATTGTTGTCTTTGTTGATGTGACCACACACATCACTTGAACACTATTTGTTTCACGATAAGAATTAGCTTTGATCAAAAACGATACCACCATACAGGTTACAAGATTGTCAGTTGGGCTTTTACTATGAAAGTCATAACCGGACGTTGATGTTATCATGGAGCCTTTATAACTTTCTTAATTTCTTGGTACGAAAGTGAAATGTGTAAAGCTTCCAAGAATAATCAAAAAAGACATCAGGTTGTGAGCCTTCAACATGAAAGCACATAAACTTAGAGGCTGCATATCTTATTTATTATTTTGAATACAGTAAGTTTTAAACTTAAACTTAAACTTTGTGGCTTATAGGTTACATAGAGTTTGGCAAGCTGTACATCCATTATGAATACTTGAAATAGTAAAAATGTGGAAGAAACAGTACAGTAGTTCTTTTCTTTCCATTTTAAAATGAGAAAGCTCTCACCTTGATTTTTGAATAGAGATTAATCAGTGTGTTCTGATTTAACAGAAATAATTTGGTAACAACACGCTGTTTATTTCTGTTTAGTAATAATGCAGTTAGAAATGTTGGTAAATGATAACAGAATCAGAATTGGCTTTATTGTATAAATACAAATGTTTCTGTAGGCCATAACTTACCTAACCATAGAAATACATAGGTCTATTTAGTAGATATACATGGATTGTATGATTTTCTCACTTTCTAAATGTTAGTAAGATATTAGTCTCACGAGAATCTGACGTTCTACTATGCCTAAGTCATCAGGTCAGCAGTTATAAATGTTAGCTAGTCTTTCATAAAAAAAAAAGTAATGACTCTAACCCCACCTGATGCCCCACGTTAGAATGGAGCTGCATCAAAAGTGCCCTTCTGAATGTCCTTATGGTAGATAAAACATTACAAAGTTACCTCTAAGGTGCAATAAAGAAGGTCCAATGTGCTAGAAAGCACAATGCAGTGCTAGGGGGGCCTTTAAATGGAGAAAATGTGATGCATATGCCATAGGCTGCATGTGCTACATGCTAGAAAAGTGTTTAGAACCGTTTCATTGAATCACAATTTCCTACAGCTGCATGCAGCTGCTGCTGCACCTTTTAGAGTCTGCCACCAATGTAGTTACAAATGGCAATAAATACATTGACAAATGTGTCACAAGTTTCTTACTTTCAATTATAAGTCATTTGTACAGTATCCTATCAAGTCTGCAATTGTAAATAGTGATAAGTTGTTAATAAGTGGGCTTTAGTCCAGATGGCCTGCAGCCCCTTTTCAAGTGGTCCACTTAGGTTGTCTTCTTGATAAAGCAAAGAGCCACAACCTGGAAACCCATATTGTTTTAATGCCTTTTAACATATTTATAAAGCATTGGGAAATGATTTATTAACTGTAACTCTAACTATAGACAATCAATTGATTTTGCACATCAAATGAATCATGGTTATTTCTACTCAGCCTGTCAAAAAAGCTGTATAATGTCTTTGGTGGCTTCTGAGGGACTACAAATTTCTAACAGGAAGCCTGAAATACCAGCAGAGGTGGAGGACAAGGGAATTTACAACCAAGGGAGGTTCTAATGAAAGTTAATCTCTGCTGCATCAATTGACGACTAACCATCCCTTTTATAAATGGATCTCTTGCGATTCCCACAACTTTATTGAAGTGTAATACTAAATCACTGGATCAGCCTACCTCTTTAATAAAGCCATAATTGCAGCTTATGAACCATTTATAACGGGTGTCTTTTTAGTTGTATAAAGTGGTATAATTATTATAGCGAGCTGTTCTTTAATGATCTAATTCATTTGAGATTCTACTGCATCACTCTTTTAAATGTTAATGCTAAAATAAAATCTGCTCTGATGTAGTCGTGATGTAGTTTGTTTTCCATTTTGTCCGACCGCAAAACCTCATTTTGTTTGCTGAAAGTTGTCCTGAAAATAAAGTTCGAATTTTGAGAGATGGTGCTTTACTTTGAAAATATATCACAAAAAACCAACCGGAAGTCTTACTTTGTTCAGAGGAAATGCTCAGTCGTGGCTGCAGGCGTGAAACATTATGCATGTGTGTTGTCAGCTGACAGGCAGCATCTCGGGGAGCCGTCACAACACCACCTTGCCTGCTGACAGCAAGCTAGCAGCTCCTAGGCGAGGCTCTAATTCGGACCGGGGTGGGTTATGTTTCCCGGAGCCAGAACCGTAGACGGAGGTTTGTGCACCACCAACCCATGGCGGCCGAAATTCAGCCCCAACCGCAGGCTCGGAAGCCATGTCTGCTGAGCAAAATCGAGGCTTTCCAAGATGTGGTTAGCACGGCGGTCATCATCCCCAAGGAAGACGGAGTTATCAGCGTGTCTGAGGACAGGTACGTTAAGCTTTGAGGCTACACGGCGGCTAAAATCCCGATTTATAACCTTTGTTTGTCTCTCAACAATGTTCCAGCTCCTGTCGGTCAATGAATGAGTTTATTAATTTCAAAGCCGTTTGCATGTAAAAACAGTGAAGTCCCCGTTATAGAAGAAAACATTCCCTTACATTTCTATAAAAGTGACACATGCTAGTTTACGACAGTGTGTACTTTGATTTTTTTAAACCAATGACCAAGTAAGTTGACGCTAAAAACATTTGGGTTAACTGGTGATTTTTGTTTTTTTAGAGTGTCTAACGTTAGGTAGGTAGCTAATTACCAAAAAATCCGTCAATAACCTTTATTTTGGGGGAAAATGTCTTCTTGGCCACATACAAGCTGGGAAGAGGAGGCTGTAAAGCAGGGGTGTCCAAACATTTCATACCAGAGGCCACATGAAGAAAAAAGTGTAGTCTTTAGCCATGAGCCTTTTAGTTGTAGAGTCTCAGGGGACCTCAGTTTGCTCTTGTTAAATGTTAGAAGAGAAAATATATTCTCCCATTTGTTTGTAGAACCAAATAAACTGAGCATTTGTCTGGACTTTTACAGACCCCTGTAGAACTCTAAAGACAGTTTTAACTATGGAAAGTATAATTACATTGCAATTCAAAAGGCTTTAACTGCACATTCTTCTCATCTACAGAGAAAGGGTGTGACAACAGGTTAATGTCCTTCATAATGGCAGCGAAAGCCGGAAAGTGCTCATTACATTTTGTGACATTATTCCCACATTTTGACAAAAATGTTGGCGTTGGGGAACCTGGAAATCATTTCCCACAAAGCTGGGAAGTGTGCAGCATTGCCATCAATGAATTGCCACTCACAACTTCACAGCAAATGATTTCATGTGTGTAAATGCAACACAAGCCCATCTTTTCCTTGCAAGCTTTTGTTCAATGTGTACCGATGGCCAGTGAGAGCAACAAAAACCCCCCCAGCTCAGTGGTGCTCGGTTCAGGTGACCTTTGTCTTTAAAAAAAAAAAGAAAAGAAAGAAGTTCAGAATCGCCAATAGTCCCACGGCAACTCTAGTACATATCGGAGGGTAGATTATGTTGGGGAGTTATGTTTTATTATTATTATTATTATTATTATTCCACCAGTTATTTAACGAAGTTGGATGTGTTTGCTGCCTTGCCTTTTTGATGTCGATTAAAGTAGACAACTTTTCAAAGAGAAACTGTAGCCCGCTTGTTACTCACAGCTAAACATGACTGGAGAATGCAACACATCAAGAATTTAACAGATGCCACGAGGGCTCTTGGTAACGCAAAGGCTAAAACGTTATGGTTTAACCCCACAGGACGATTCGGGTGTGGCTGAAGAGGGACAGCGGTCAGTACTGGCCCAGTGTCTACCACACTATGTCATGTAAGTATCCTTGATTACCTTTTCCTATAGGCCTATGTATAAATAGTAATTTTTTGTGCACTGTTCATTACTGTTTATTATTATTATAGTTTAAACAAAACAAAGACAAAGGCTATGTCTGTGGCTTGTTCAGTGTAATGATATAATTAATGAATATGTATCTAACTGTTGTCAGCAAAGTTGTCCAGATAACATGTACTTCTTGGAACAGGCCTGTTGTTCATTCCTGTTTTTGTTCGCTCTTCCTCTGTTTGCTTTCATTCTGTGTGAGCATCTCTCCTCATCATGACTAACACAATGAATCACACAGACTCCACTTCTCAGAATGACATGAAAGCGTGGAGTTTAGTTGCTCCTGAAATGAGATTCAGCGTTTGAGCTCCTGTAGGATCATTTACTCTGTTCTCTTCAGTACTGCAGTGCTGCATGTCTGTGACACTGTTTGTCCTTGTTTCCCTCCAGTTGTGCAACTGAAGGAAATCCTGTGTGACCATCAGCAAGATCTGTAGCCTACAATAGCACTACCAGAGGCTGCATATTTTTATCATTTTGGTTTATTGATATAAAAACTGAAATGAGTGTGCAAAAGATAAAACAGTAATCACCACTTTAAAGGGGCAACATGTCGTTTTCAGCGGCCACTAGCCGTGTGGTTTTAAGATGCAACTGGGTGTGTGCTCGTACGCATGCTTGAACCATAGGTTTGAACTCATGAGCGAGAATAATCTGAAACACAACCCCTAATACAGAGATCGGCATGCTGGCTGTGGCTTTTCAAACAGACATGTTCTGGCTCTGTTAAACGTACTTGGCCCAGACCGTGCAGCAAGCCGACATATTGGCACAATATTCCCTGAAAAAAAATGCAGTGTGAAAGCGGGTATAGACAGACAGGGAGACAGCTTCACAGAACATGCTGGAAAGTCAGGTAAACTCCCACTGCAATGTTACACTAATATTTTCATTAGCTTGAGGTTGAAGTAATCCATGCTTGTTGCATGATAACTGTGCATTTACTGCATTTACAACAACGCCGTTAGCTCGCCTGCTGCTTTTCCATAACTAACATTACTATTTGTTTATCTTTAACTGGAGGCTCAGCAGTGTCAGCACCGCTAAATGTATTGGATGAAAATTAAACATTTAGTGAGCTAGACTAAATATTGTAAATGAGATTGTTGCCACACTTTAAAACAGTTAGACAATAAGTAACATTACTGTAGTGGACGGTTCTTCAACTGTGTTGTTGTCCTGACCGTTATGTTGCATTAGTTTATACTATGTGGGTCACGTAAGTTACAGCGACTGAGACGGTGGAGAAGCTGTTCACCTGAGAATCGGTAAAACGTCAGTAACTCGAAATTGAAAGTTACGAAGCAAACAGCTGTAACTTAGATCCGTGCTAACGTTAGCTGGCTGCTCCTGACTTGCATCATTATAGGCTAGTATAAACAAATCGCTCCACATTTGCTTTGTACAATTGCATGCTAGCTGGTGAAGTAATGTGGAAAGCCATAACGTTACAACTATAGAATATTAACGTTAGGAACTAGTATGCGCCAGCCGGCGAGGTAACAAGCAGCCTTTCTGATGTTGACTGTGTTTTCACAGGACATTATCTGATTCTTGTTTGGCCTGACGGGCTCCAACACATAAAACTTTATTGTTGTTTTTTATCCTTACGTGGAGTTTATGTTGGAGTCTGTGTTGTGCTGGGAGATGGTCGTTTTATGGTGTTAGTGGACTGCATTAGTTAGCTGCAGTGCACATGTAGCTACCTCCTGACCCGATACCTTCACATTAAAAGCAGAATAGTGGCTGTTCAAAGCAACAGAGAAAACAGGCGTTTGGTTAATTTCTAAGTGAGACGACAGCCCATTAACAAAAAGGCGGTAAAAATTACATTTATTAATAAGCGATTTTATTGAAAAATTACATATAGCCCCTTTAAGGATTTCCAGATATAGCAACTGAAATTTGTTTTCAGTTTTTATCTTAGGCAGAACTGAGTCAAAATTGTGATTGAAATTACTTAAAATTTGATAACGTATAGAATTAATCTTTTCCTGAATGGAGTTTTGGTATAGTTCTTTATTAATAAGTAGGCGTTTTTCATACATAAAGGCATCTGTGCATATTTGTGTTGCTTCATCACAAGTTGTCCATGTTTGTGGTGCTCTCTGGAAACTTTCAGGTGAGGTCAAATTGGAGAGACTTTGGTTCCATGTTTATTATTTTTTTTGTCTGCTTAACCTCTGCCATCATATCCAGGAAGTTGTGACAGAACACTGTTATCCAAGTGGTTCAACAGAAACATCTAATTGATCTACAGTATATTCAATGTGGGATTATTTATCACCAAATGAACCTTCCAAATATAAGTCAGTGGTCCATGAAATGAACAAATATATTGTGGCTTTTGAGTTAGAGGAACGGAAAGTATTTTTCTGTTGGTAATAAATACTTGGTATCTATATGCTAACTGTTTAAACACTGCTACTGCATTTGTTTCTACATGATGACCTCACAGCGGTTATGTTATTTTTGAGAGACACTCATTATAGACAAATACAGATTCTGATATGTTTGACCCAAAGCGGGAATACATTAGCAGAGTTAATTTTATTATTTTAACAAGATGAGCAAAGAAAACACTGAAAATGCTAAATAAACTGCACCAAGGTTGATTGTCTAAAGTAAAACACTTTCTGCTTGAGAGACCTATATCAGCAGCGACTGAGGAGTAAAGCTGTTTGGGATTTTTTTGTGTACTGAGCAATTAGCCTGCAGAATAATCAAACCACCGGTGTATTGTGAAGCTCTGAATGGTAAACTGTTGTTGAGACAGTTTCATTCAAGCTATACTCGCTTATTGTTGAGGCAGGGCTGGAAACAGTACAAGCTGACATTGGTCAAAACTGTTTCAAAGAGATGTTAATTAAATTGAAAATAACGCTTCCAGTACACCATCTACACCACAGACTAGGTGACACAGCTTGTGGACACAATTTAACAATGTTCCTGGTCTAGATAACACATATTGTTTTATTATGTGTTGTAATCCAGCCAACCATTGTATATAACTCAAATATTGCTATTGGTATCTGCCTCAAAATTAAATATTGATCATGTTCTAATTAGTATTTTTTTAAAGTATTTTTGGGTATATTTGCCAGTGCCCAAGAAAATCTTAATTCAATGTCCACTCACTAGCTTCTCTAAAGCTTGCTATTTCATCGCATGGTGTTTCTCAGTTGAGGGAGTTTGCTCAGTTGTCATCATGTGTCCTAAGTATAGAACTTAGGTCAACTGAACAAATTCAGTCCATGGAGGAAGACCGTGAGATACAGTTGACAGTTCAAAAAATTGACCTTGAAATTAGATTTATTTTGTTAATCAGCTGTCTCTCCGAGGTCAAGAATGAATTTGTAACACTCAAGTGTCAATACGGATGATTTGTTGTTGGGAGTTTTACCGCTGAAATTCTTATATCGCTCAAATGCTGAGACGTGTATTACAGCAGAACAGAAATCACAGTGACAATTAAATTACAATAACAATACAAATGTACATGTAAAAAATATCAGTTTAGACTGGAAAGGTTTATTAGTGCTGTAATATTGTATTACTGTATGTCTTTGTGTCTCCAGCATCAAGCTCCTGTATGTCCTTTAACCCAGAGACCAGGAGGCTGTCTGTGGGGATGGATACTGGAAGCATCTGTGTAAGTCCAACCCCCAGCCTGCTTTCCTCATTTAACTGAAGACTATTTGCTTTTCATCACCTGAAGCATACATATTATCCCAGTATTTTATCTGTATGTTGACAGGAAGATCTTGTGACATTTGTCATCTGTCTTTTAGCACATAAAATGGAATCCAGCTCTAATTGTATGTATTTTGGCTAAAGTGTTGGCTGCTCTCCAGTATAACAGGAATGTGTCTGGTGAGTTTGTCTATTTAGTTGGAATGAGAGCTTGGTCAGGTCACTGTGAGCTGTCACTTGGTAAGCAAGGAAAACCTTGTCTATTCTCTTTTGAGCAGTATAGAGGTGGTGTGGAACCTTATAGATTTTCAGAATGGACAGGATTGTGTTTCACTTAGGCTGTAGTCATTAGTCACTTCCTGATTTGAATCCTAATTTTCATTTAGGAAAACATGCACCTACACGTGATGAGTATAACTAGGCCTACTCTTTACATTTTAAATTTAACCTAATAATAACCCTAGAAGAGAAGTTAGGTGATTACAGTATATCTTATGCCATCGCCACCCCTTGCCATAGTTAATAGTGTGCAGTTTTGTCCCTCCCACTCCCCCAAAAGCACTTGGCACCCCCCAACCCTTATTTTCTTTGTTCAGAGTTTTTGTATAATATGTATGTATGCGTATGTTGTTTTTTTTGTTGTTATATAGATACATATATATTTATAACATATATAACCTATTTACTAGCGTTATCATTACCATGTGTGTAGATATTTGTGTGAAGATCTATGTGTATAGTCCCTATAAAAGAAATAAAATAAATAAATAAAATAAAAATAAAAACTCCGGAAATTGTTTACTGAGGTAATAAATCAGGTGTGAGAAGAAGGATCGTTTTACCACTTTTTTTAATGGAACCGGACTTCTTTTCGCAACCAGAGGAGTCGCCCCTTGCTGGTTGTTAGAGAGAATGTAAGATTAAGTTTCTTCCTCATTGGCTTCAGTTGTGAGAGCTTTAAGTTGCAGCTTGGTCTACCCCTGTGGTCTGCCCTCATTATTCTCAAAGCTCTTAAGTCAGCAAAATAACCAATATGTTGGAATGAGCATTGTAGCGTCTAGTGGCCACTAGTGAGACTTCTGACTGGTGGACTTGTCTGTTTTAAGTAGTTTCATTCTGTGACAAACAACTCTGACAGGAGCTGTACTTTACTAGACTGCCATGTACTGTACAGCACATTACAGTTCAGGCTGTTATAAGATGCAGCATTTTTTTACTGTCCAGTTTTTGTTTTGTTGTTTGAGAAATTTCACAGTGGGAGTTGTTTGTTTTGGAAAGTTCTCCCAACACAAAGGCAGACAGTAACAGAACAGAACATTTTCTAGGATGTTTATTTCAGAACAACCTTAAAACTTCAAGTTCCCAGATGTGTTTTACTATGGGTGGTGGCCTCAGTGGAAAGCAGACTTTTCAGACCAAGAATTCAGCTGTTTTTCCTTTCATTGGCTTATGCACAGGCCTGCAGTACATACATACTGGAATTTAAACACAATAACATGCTTTGTTTCCCATTTATAGATTTATTTTGAGTCTTGGTCATTGACCTCAGTCAGTGTGAAATTTAATCCCCACTTCCTGTCTTTCAGGAGTTCATCCTGTCAGAAGACTACAATAAGATGACCCCAGCACGCACCTACCAGGGTGAGAGGAAGTGTGCATGTGTGTATAAATGTGTGAGTCAGTTAATATCTGGAAGAGAACCAAATGATACTGTTGGTTTGTTTTTAAATTTAGTCTTAAAGTTTCAGTGTGTAATATTTCTGAGGATCTATTGACAGAAATGCAATATAAGATCCATAACTATGTTTTCAGTGGTGTATAAAAACCATACATTATGAAACGTTATGTTTTTGTTATCTTAGAATGAGACATTTATGTCTCAGTATGTAAAGTAAAAAACTCTTACACAGAAGGTTGCATGTTTGATCCCACCTTGGGACTATTTTTTTTTCTCTCTTCGACCAATTGATTCTGCAGCGACAGTTTCTAACATTATAGCATGTGCTTCAGTGTTTGTGTTTCTGTGTTTGATCCGCATCCATCAACCTGTGGAGGCTTTTTCATTTCCCCAGTATCTCCAGGCAGAGGACATTTAGGGGAGTCACGTTTTCTGACGGTTCTTTCAGAGGTGTGTCAAGCAGGCCACAGAATCTTTGATGTCGTTAAGAATTTTTCAAAGCAAAAGAAATAAAGCATTGCAGCAAGAAAACATTCTTGTGCTTTTATTTTGCAGGTAAAATCACTAAAGCCTAGTTCACACTATACGATTTTTAGCCTGATTTGCCGATCTGCGAGCTCGGCGACCATCAGGCTGTGATCGTGAGTAAATCAGCAGTTGATCGGCGGTTACCAGTTGTTATGTGTGAACTACACAACGACTCATCAAAACGGCTTCCCGACACATTTCTGACACATCCCCGACATCTGCCAGATATCTAGCATGCCAAATATCTGGAAGAGTCGGCCGACTTGACATCCACATCCAGCCAATGAGAACAGGCAGCTACACTTTTTACTCCCCTCCAGCTCTCTCTGTAGCTCAGACAATCCCTGCTACCTGCGTGTACTAATCCATTCTTTCACCCTTATTTTTTGTCTTTATAATTGCTGTATTTATAATAACAAACAACAGCTGTTTCATCTGTAGGTTCGTGTCATTTCCCGTTTCACATTTCCCGTGTGTTTTCTTGACAAAACGTGGTTTGGAGACCAGCGTCGGGTGACACAGCCGCTGTCAGCTCGTGTAGTGTGTGACCCCCCTGACACCGATCAGTCATGTAGTGTGAACGCCTCCACGACTTCAAGGCTCCCGTCACAAGACGGCAAGTTGTGTAGTGTGAACGGCACGGCCATCGGCTGTCGCTGAAAGTCGTGTAGTCTGCACGAGGCTTAAAAAGAAAGTGATTATCTGAGTAACTGTTGCTGTCATGACTGAGATCTATTTCAGCATCGCTATCAAAGTATTTATTTATATTTTTTGACACTATCAAAGCACCATAATCTGGCAGCGGGCCAGATATTATTACTGGCGGGCAGTTTTGGCGAGGGTCCATAATCACAGAGAGAATAAATGTGTTTCCCTTGTCGATGTTTGTCTAAACTTTATCTATTATGTGGTTTATAATGGACTGTGGTGCAGAAATAGTGACAATGTTACACACTCTTGGCTTACATTTTCCATGTTATCTGTCAGTGGACAATTCGCAGTGACATATGGTTTTAATGAATAATTAAGTAAATATAATTTCTTAATGTATCTACCTTGAGAAACCTCATTTCTTGACTGGCCACTCTCTGCTCTCTGAGAAGAGACACCTTTTGTGCTGTGTCAGCCACCATAGCAGTCCTACGCTCTCTGAAAGGTTAGGAGGAAGTGGTAGACTGGAAAGTTGGTTGCAATTCACAAACCTCACCACTAGATGCCACTAAAACGTACACACTGAACCTTTAAAAGTCCAGAAAAAGTAAAAAAAAAAAAGCTAAGCTGACTTTATTTGTTTTTAATTAAGTGACATTGCTTCCGTCCCAGAATTAGACATCTTGATATAAAACCCAAAACCAACCTTAAGGTGCAAGTGTACATATGCTGAATGTGACAAACTGATGACATGATGTCTAGCTACATCAGCAAGTAATCTGCAAAAGTTAGTAAATGTTGTATATAAACATTTTCCCAAATGATATTTGTGCAGAGATGATTGGTGAGAATATATTCACCAAAAGCTACCTAATAACATTGGATACATATTTTGACATCACTTTACATGTAGAACAGTCTTTACAAGTAGTTAGTTAATCAGTATTTAGGATGTATTATTTTAAATATAAACAGGTGTGTATATATACGCTCAGTTGCCTTTATGCCTTTTATGGTCTACCTTTTTTTTTTTCTTTTTACCATTTTTAATTAACATCAAGGGCACTGCTGAGAGGACAGTTGTGTGTGTGTGTACACAAGAAATATCAGTTTGTTGTTGCACCTCGAACGCTTGGCGATCGCAAGTTGGAAAATTGTTAAGGGAAAATAATACAACTATAGGTAGTTCCAGTTTACTTCCTCTTCAGGCAGAGTTGTTTGACAGTGGAACATCGTCCAGCTTTCTGTGTAGGAGTGTGGTCTGAGCAGCAAAATTTTTATTTTGACTTTAAATGTCAAGACAAACATTCAACTGTCTGATACCTGCAGACACCTGAATGTAGAATCCATTGTGTCGTAGCTTCACATGTAACATCAAGTGTATCTTTAAATATGTAATTATGAATCATTACACTCATGGCTTTGAAAGATTATTTCTAAGAGCTGCCACCATCCTCAGACTGTGCAATCCATTGGACCATAATATTATTTATTACGATGTATTTATTAGTACTCAGGCAGTTTCAGTCCAATTCACTGCGAAAGTCTCCTCCTCTGAGGAGCCTAAGGAGTGTATTCATAATTCATTACTTTTTTTTAAGCATAACTCACTCAGAAATAACTGGACCAGAGCACCACTGATCGATCTCCGCATGTCTCTTCTACAGCCTCAACTATATTACATGTATGAATGCACAAGCCTTGAAAAAATGATTCTTAGATGGATGCTGAGTAATAATTACAACTGACCTTTCTTGGTGTGTTTCTCTGATATTATATAAAGATGTGGACCACATGTCCTTGTGTCATGTGTGGCTGTGTGTTCTGTGAAACTGTAGATCTCAAAATATCTGCACCAGTGTCAAGTAAATTTATCTTAATTTGTTTATCAGATCTTAACTTCAAGAAAGTAGGGGTGCTGGATTATTCTCTACTGCTTTCGAAAAATGGTGTTAAATGTGTATTTCTGTGCAGTTTCAGCACACAAAAAATGTTGATTAAACACAATTTTGATATTTGTGACACCGTCCTACCTAACATATCTGGATAGACACCTGTACTGTGATTGAAGTGATGGTGAAAATGGATCTCATGTTGTATTTATTTGTGTTTTTGTGTGCCTGCAGCGCATCAGGGCAGAGTGGCAGTGGTGCTGTTTGTGTTGGAGATGGAGTGGCTTCTGAGCACTGGCCAGGACAAAAACTTCACCTGGCACTGCTCAGAAAGCGGCCAACAGCTTGGGACATATCGAACCGCCGCCTGGGTTTCAGGACTACAGTATCCTTTAATGCCCCCCTTCCCCTCCTGGTCTGTTTGTTATCTTGGTTTGCCAGCTACTTAGCCCTTAGAGTGCGCTCAATAAACCTGACAGCCAAGCTTCTTGCTAAATGGAGTGGGGTGGATGTAACTAAGTGGGAAGTGACTAGCCATCTTTGGTGCTTTGGATTGTAAAAAATATCTGCCTTTTATTATGACAACACAGTCTATTTTAAGGCCACAGCAACATAAGACAGGGCAAAAGAGATTAGCTTCCAGCTAGTTTGTACTAATGGGAAGGGCTAACAATAGGCATCAGTCCTGCTGTTGTCCAGGAAACAGTCTGAGTAGGTTTCAGTAACGGGTAGATGAAAGGCTGTGGGTGCTCGGCAGTGACACTGATCCATACCAATGAGCCTGCCATGAGGCCTTTAGACTGCTGACATCCTGCTGGCCTCTATATGCTAACCAGTCTGGATAGCATGGCAAGAAAATCAGTGGAAGTAGAGACACTGAGCAGTGACAGTTTTTTTGTTCTGAGTGACTGTAGATGTGATGATAAGGGCTGTTTCTGTACTGATACAAATGTGTGTGATGCTCATCAAGCAAACGGGTGAGTCAAACACAAAGTCAAGAAAATATGGCAAAGCCTGTCATGCTCTGTGGTTCATTGGAAGTAGAGCCCTATTTTTGTGTTAAAATTGTGAAACATTACAAATTCCCAAATACTGTTGGTTGACTTAAAAAAGAAAAGAAAAGACGATTTCTTTAGAGTGAGGAGAACAGTCAACCACTGATCAAGATCATTACATGTCTTTTTACTTGTAAATCACTTAATCTGTCACCTAATCGGTTAATGACACAGAAAATATAATCTTGAGTTCCAAGAGAGAGAAAGAAAATTGAAAACTCCCAATTCATTGTTATGTTTTGTAAGACAGAATTATTTAGATTGGATGGTATAATTAGATTATTCCTAGTGGAGTTGTTGTTTTTCCTCTTCTACTATGCAGACAGCATTGTAATGATTTTGTTCTGTTGTGACTTAACCAGGTCAGAGGAGGACTCTGGACTGAATGGCCAGTGAAAAGGCTGTCATCCATTGACACACTGCAGTTCCTTTGCTGCCACAACAAATGGCTTTCAGATCTTAAATGTTAAAGTTTTCACACCGATAAAATCTTTTGGGTCACTGTGCAGCTCAGTTGTTGTGCTGAAATTGCAGCGGGATTTTTCTTGTTTGGTGTGTGTTTTCGGTCTGGTAACAGATAAAGATCCAAATTAATGTATCAATAGTTTTTCAGGGGAACGCAGTTTCTTCTTCCTCAACCATAATCTTATCCCAGGTTTGATGTGGAGACCAGACACGCCTTCGTAGGGGACCAGTCTGGTCAGGTGACCATCCTGAAGCTTGAGCAGGACAGCTGCAGCCTGGTCACCACGTTCAAGGGACACACTGGTACACCCCACACTTTTTTCATAAATGTTTGCCATTTATAGCCTAAACAATTAATCTGTGATCAATACAATAATCAACAGATTGATCCATAATGAAAGTAATTGTTATTTGAAGCCATATTATAAAGCTCTGAATTCTTCCAGCCTCAGCCTAAACCATAGAAAACAAACACTAGCATCAGTATTAGCACAATATTTGTTCAGTATTTGTCTGTACAAATATAAATTTCCTAAGTGACCTTGCAGCTATGTCTCTAAGCCCAGATTATCTTTGTTGGTCTGTTTTTCTACACTCACAACTCTTACAAATATTAGTTTGTGAGAATTGAAGTATCTTCCTCGGGGGCTGCTTGTTTCTTCTGCTGATACAGTATGTAAGAAAGAGAAGCTGTTACTGAATACAAATGAATACAAATACAAATGACACTTGAATTTTATAATACTTTTGGTAATTACGTATAAAATTGTCTTTTCAAAGCAATGTTACACTTGGCTTTACAAATACGAAAACAACGCAATTTAAATAAATGGCCCCCAATAATGAAACAATTACAGCTTTTTGCAGAAATATATCAGCTGGGAACAACTTATGTCAGGAGGGAAAAGGCATAAAGGATCTTGATGCTTAAATTTTTTTTTTTATATTTAGAAGGACCTTACCCAAACCACTGAGGTCCATACAGTAGTTGCATAAAAATCACACAATCGTTGATGCTAGATTGACTCTGTTGTCCTCAGGCAGGTTGTAGATATATTGAAGCACTTAAGAGGGATTTTTAAAAGCTTGAAGTCCACTATGGCCTTGACAATGAGGGTCAAGACCCTCTTTTGCATCACTCAGATCTGCTTCAACAAAGGAGGCAATGAAAAATGTAATTTACAGTTTTGTAAATAGGATTTAAAGTTTTCAGATACAAGCTTGTTGATTGGAGTTAAAGGATAACGAGGCATCTGAAGTAGTTTAAAGAAGAGTGCAGGGCCAGGAGCAAAGATCTTGAATTTAGTGAAAGGATTTGTGTCCCATGCAGGTATTTTTTCATTAATCATTGACAGTCATTTAAAACATCAGAAAACAAACAAACATGATATTTCTAAGAAGTTATGTGTGTTAACAATATCTGTCTCACAAATTAGCCTTTAGGCTCAAAATTTAAACTAAATGAGAACCAGTGCATGACAGCCCGGGGGACACCAACCCAGTTCCTAATTAATCAATTCAGTGGATCATAAATAATTCTGAGAAGACTTATCGTCAGTGATGATATTTCATGCACTGGCCTTGGCCTGATGTGTATCCATGTTAATTGACCTTTGTGCAAGTGTGTGACTTTGTGCTCATGTGTTTCACTCACATATTTGCCTGTGTGTTTGTTTATGTGTGTGCTGTGCTGTGCTTTGCTCCAGGCAATGTGACGGCGCTGTGTTGGGACCCGGTCCAGAGGGTGCTGTTCTCCGGCAGCTCAGACCACTCCATCATCATGTGGGACATCGGAGGACGCAAAGGCACCGCCATCGAACTGCAAGGACACAAGTAAGAATCACAAACATCCCCTCTTGAATGTGTCTCTTATTCAGCTGTCTCTCTCCAACTTTTTATCTTAATTCATGCAAACTGTTCACTGTATGAATATCCATCCAAACACATTATGTAGGCGACAGCGAATAGCACCTTATCACCACAGCAAATTCCTCGTATGTGTAAACCACTCCTTGGCAATAAAGCTCCTTCTGAATCCGATAAGAATTACAATTACACATTTCCTGTTTCGACTCTGCTTGGTGCCGTCTTATTGCAGGTTAATAGGCTGCAGACTTCTGTATTCTATCTAATAAATAATGACATTTATGAGAGATTTTTTTTGCGAACCTGAGTTGATAAGATTAGTGGTTGGTCATCCCGAAAGCTCCCAGTGGTCATTAATTAAGGCACGGAGATAAACGGAGTGGTTGGAAAATATTGCTGGACATTCATATTTTCATTCATGCAGGTGACAAGAAGACTTATTGGTCTTAAAAAGGCAAACCAGACATGCATTTAATCTCTCCATGTACCTATCTGACAGCATTTAATTTTGAGCTGAAATGATTAGCCCATTAATTGATTTATTGACCAGTCAATATATTGATAATTGATTTATCATAACCTTTTCAAGCAAGAACTTCCAATTTTTGCTGGCTCCATCTTTTCAGCTGTAAAGATTTTCTGCTCTTCTCTGTTTCACAACATTGTAAACAGAATATCTTTGGGTTTTGGACTATGTCAGACAAAATATTGATTTGAAGTGGCCATCTTGGGCTTTGTGATGAGCATTTGAGCAGCACTATCTGACATTTTATAGATCAAGCGCTAAATTGATTAATAGAGAAAACACTGGGTTCATTAATCAATAATGGAAACAATTGTTAATTAAATTCTAATCTTATTAAATTCAGACTTGTAACTTGTTGAAAGTGACTATTACGTAAGAGATGTAAATTGAAACCAGATTTACGTACCAAGCTGCACATCTAAAGCCAGCCATGTCTGAAAAGGGCCATCTTTCTGACTGTATAATTAAAAAAAGAAAAAGTTGTATTTTATGTAACACGGCTGTTTAATCACAGAGTGAGGTGAAAAAAGTTTCTGTACTATTTTATTCAGTGCTTGCTGAGTTTGTCTTCCAATGCCTGTTTGTGTGTGTGCTCCCTACAGTGAAAAGATTCAGGGTTTGTGCTACGCCTCACACACTCGACAGCTCATCTCCTGCAGCTCGGATGGAGGCATTGTCATCTGGAACATGGATGTAACACGACAAGAGGTGAGAGGGGGAAGAGAAGACAGCAGACTGATGCAGTGTGACATAAACCCAACACACAATCACACATTGATAATCAATCTGTGAACTGTGACAAATTGTGAAGAAATTATGGAAAGATGAGGAAATATGTCATGTGTGCAGTGTGTTTTCTTGCCTGCTTGGACACGTGCGTATACTGTGATACAGATCAGCTTGTTGGATAACTGCTGTTAGCTCTCCCTCCTACTCTAGAATAAATTCTCTTAAGAGATCCATTAAAGGTCAGCGGATTAGCAGAGTGTTCCTTTGATTTTCTCTCTTGCACACACAGTCTAGCGTCCTCTTCCTCTGTTCTTTACCAGTTTCCAGACAGTTAGTTAGGATGTGATTGCTTCATTTTTTACCCAGAGTAACTTTTATTCTGACTGAACAAAATCCCTAAAGTCACAAAAAACGTTGAAGACAATTGTCCCACGGTGGCACTATAGCAATAAACTAAAGAAACACACCAACGGCATCTTGACATCAATTAGTCAGGATACCCCATGTCCTATTTCCCAGCTTCCACGTGTTACTCTTCTGAAAAGTAGCAGTTTTATCACAGTTGCTCCCCAACTCAACATGTCAAAGCTACTGCACCTAGACTACTTCTGATCATTTTCAAAATGTGTGTTTGCACAGACCCCAGAGTGGTTGGACAGTGACTCCTGTCAGAAGTGTGAGCAGCCTTTCTTCTGGAACTTTAAACAGATGTGGGACAGTAAGAAGATCGGCCTACGACAGGTACTGTACAATCGCATACATAATGTTGTTTTATTCGTTTGAAGGTCCTGTAGAATGGAAAACTGTATTCACCCCGGCATAGTCGAATAGAAAGAGTTCAGTACATGGAACTGACATACCGTGAGCCTCAATCACCATTGTTTCCTCCTTCATATGTAAATCACGTGCATGCAAAAGACCCCGGAAAAAAGGGCAAATGCCAACAAGCACTAGATGTGACATAACATCTTGGATCATTTTAATATTTAAGCCCCCACAATTTCCACATACCAGTCCATGTTCTAAAAAGCGGTCATATGAGCTCATCGAGCTGGAGCTGGAGGTTGTGCAGTATGTCTCACAGAAATTGCTTTTACAGTTATGAAGCTAAGATAAACATTTTCTGGGTTTCCCTTTGATATCCTCCGGCTGCTCTGCCCTCAACTCTGTGAATTATGAAGTTGATGGACAGATAGCTTTACTTGTTGCTAATGCTAAAGTAACCGCTAGCTGCTGCTAATGGTAGCAGCCGCTAACAGTAGCTGCTGTTAACAGCTTGCTCTGAACCAGCGGTCCAAAGCTTCTATTCTAATGTTTGATGTGTAAACACCAACACCACCCCCAGAGCACCAAACTTTAAAATTAAAAATTATGAATCATCAACACCACAGTTTCAGTTTAGACATCAGTTACGAGATCTGTAAATTCAGTAGCTCCAACACACCCTGAATTCATCACAACTTTCCAGGAAACAGAAACTTCACTCCTGCTATGCTAATGGCCAGCTAACGCCCTGCGGCTGTTTTATTGTTTCATTCTCAGGAAGAGCTTTAAGTTGTGGTTTTCATTTCAGCTGTGTGTGTGTCAGAGAGAGAGACATTTGTTGACTTCACAGCAATCTTCATTTTGTAGCAAGAACAACAAACTGTAATGTTTGTGTTTGTGGAGATCAAGGTCCATGTTTTCAACAAAAAAAAAGTATGAAACTAGTGGTGTGGTGCTTTTTAGCACAATCCAAAATCCCTTGCAACTCAAACACCAGTGACTCGTGACTTCACTTGGACTTTCGTCTTTTGACTTGGGATGACTTGATATCCTCCTCCATTCAAGAGATTTAAAAAAGTTGTCATGAAAAAAGTGTGCTCATTCACTTTCTTGACAAGGAATATACTTTGACTCATTTCGACAGCAGCCAATCACAAGGCACAACCGGCTGGAATATTCAGCCCAGAAATTACAAATGACTGTAATTGTGCAAAAGGAAAAACACTCCAAGGTACACCTGGTGTTTTGCTTTGTAAAGTTATAGTTTGTTTAAAAGTATTAAATTTTAAAAGCATGTTTTACTTCTGTAGATTTACTGTACTATTCAACAATTTAAATTTAAACTGGGATTACATTTGGTGAAAAGTGCATAATGACCTGTTTTGGACTCAAAACACAAAGTTCAGGACAGACTTGTTGGTCTTGACTTGGAACTGGACTCAGGATTCGTAGCCCAGACTGGAGACTTGCTTTTGACTTGCAAGTCAATGATTTCCATCCACTTCTGAGAGTTAAGCTTTTAACACTTTTGCTCCTGGTAAGAATTAAGATAAAAGACTGACATGTTAAAGTCGTCCTGTGTTCCTCAGCATCACTGTAGGAAGTGTGGCCAGGCGGTGTGTGGAAAATGTTCGTCCAAACGCTCCACCATCCCCCTCATGGGCTTCGAGTTCGAGGTGCGTGTGTGTGACAGCTGCCACGAGTCCATCACCGACGAAGAGTGAGTTACAATCAGCCTCTGTTGTTGTCATAATACTGACCCTTTGTGCTCGCAGCTTTCTGAGTGCTTACACAATAAAGTAACCGGCGTTCCCTTTGTGTCTTCTAGTCGAGCGCCCACAGCCACCTTCCACGACAGCAAGCACAGCATTGTTTACATGCACTATGAGCCCACCACTGGAAATCTGCTCACCTCTGGCACTGACAAGGTTATCAAGGTCTGGATGGGAACAAACAGTATCTGTTGTATTCACAGGTCTCAGATAAGACATTCAAGCACACACAACAACATTTAATGGAGTCACTCCTCAGCAGAGTGAGTTTTCAGCTCTGCCAAGAAGGTTAGGTTTGTTGTTTCGTTTTTTCTTGGTCTCTTTTTTTAGCATGATTAAAGCCGGGTTAAGCTGCTATGGGCTCCTATTGACCCCCCCTATGTGCATTGTGTATGTAGCCAGTTATGTATAATCATTTGCTGTGTGTATTGCTATTTTATATATATCCTGTTATGTGGTTCATCAGATTCTTCCATGATCACAGCTACAAGCAGAAAAGTACACTAATGTGACCATGGCTGCTAACATGAAAAATTATAGTGATTGCTAACCTTATTTGAACTCTGTCTCAAATTTTGCAGACGTAGATCGTGCCAGATTTATTCCTTTATCTCTATCTGAACTTCAGAAAGTGTCAGCAGAAATGTCTCTCTTAATAGTTAGTTCAAACTGACAAACAACAAACTGATTGTGTCTTATGTTTCCTGCAGCTATGGGACATGAGTCCTGTGGTGTCCTGAGGTCTGTGGGCGACCAGCAGTCAGCGGGGAAGCTCTGTTCACCAAACTGTGATGGTGGCAGTCGCACTTGGAAGAGAAAGAGAGAAGCATATCCAACAATATCGATGTCATCTGGATAATATTTAACAGTTATTCAACAACAAGCAGTGGCTGTTGCACATTCACAGTGAGGACACTGCAGGCCAGTGGAGCCTGGGAACAGGACAGGCTTTGGTTGACACAAGGTTATAGACGGTTGTGAGTGTTTGTTTGTTAGAAGGGTGCTGTTGCGTGGGGGATCTCTCTGTGTATATGTGTGTTTGGAAAGGGTTGAGGGCATTTGACTTTTTTACACGACTTATGTACTTAATTTTCATGCATTCCTGTCTGATTTCATACTGGAAACTCACAAAACAGTAAGTGAAACATTTCTGCCCTGTGTCAGCAGATGCCATCAAACCCAACTTTACGTTTGTTAGTTGCACGTAATGTATTGCATGTAACTGGACCATAGATCACTCAAATTCACTCAATTACGTTAAGCTGGCTGTAGAGTCTCAACAAGAGGAAGCCGTTTGATCATTGTCAGACCAGTTCGACACCTGCAGGAAAAGAATGTAACGGCAGCAACAGTTTAAACTATTGATGCTCCCTTCTGGAGGCAAAGAAGTAGTAGCTGACACTTGCACTGACACCTGCAGGCACAAGTATTTAACCTTCTTTGTATTGTAACACATTTACATTTGAAACTTGACCACCTGTTTGCCAAAATACATATCAGAAATGTGATGTCAATTCACTTGTGAAGACAACAATGTTGTTTTGACAAAACAGTTTAATGTCAAAGTCCACTTAGCCCTCAGCTATCGTCTGTATCACGTGGTCGTCATCACAGATGTAGTTTACTCTTCTCAAATTCATTTTCTAATCATTGAT